ACGAATTCCCACTACCGAGGATCGACGATCTGTTGCGAGCAGTAAGGGGGTCACGATGGTTTGTGGCTTTAGACCTTAGGGCAGGATATTGGCAAGTAGCCATGAAGGAGGAAGACATCGCCAAGACAGCGTTCAAAACGCCAACAGGGCTGTACGAGTTCCTAGTAATGCCATTCGGGTTGGTGAACGCCCCTGCCACGTTCCAACGGATGGTAGAGAACCTGTTCGGGGACCTGTATTGGAGTGGGGTACTAGTATATCTGGATGATATCCTCATCCACGCGGCGACACTGGAACGAGTCTTCGAATTACTAGTAGAAGTACTGGCAAGACTCAAGGACAGCGGACTACGACTACGGCTGTCAAAATGTTCGTTCCTCCCGAACCAAATCGAATACCTAGGACACACAATAACCGAAGGTCAAATAGCCCCGCAATCCAAGAAAGTCGAAGCAATCGATGCGCTAAAGGCCCCCTCCGACGTGAAAGGATTACGACAAGTGTTAGGAATGGCCGGCTACTACCGCAGCTTCATACCGAATTACGCAGCCGTCACCCAACCATTGACGAAACTGATGCGCAAGACAACGGCATATGAGTGGAAAGAGGAGCAACAGAGGGCGTTCAGGCAAATAAAGGAGCAACTGAAGCAGGCAGCCCTATGCAACGATTACGCCGCAGAGGAATTAATTATCGAGACCGACGCGAGTGATTACGCGGTAGCCGGCATCCTATCATGCAGAAAGAACGGCCGCGATTACCCAATTGAATACATGTCTAAGACATTAACGGAAGTAGAAATAAGGTGGCCAACGAGAGAGAAAGAAGCCTATGCGATTGTAGTTGCACTCCAAAAGTTCGATGTCTACATACGGGGTCGGAAGGTTACCATATACACCGACCATAAAAGCCTAGAGTGGATGTTCCAGGCCAAGAAAGGTAAGATTGCCCGATGGGCCACACTCCTACAAGAGTATGACCTGACCGTTATCCACAAGAGCGGAATCGAGATTGCGCACGTGGATGCCCTTAGCAGACTGGCGAAAGACGTAGCGACGGCCGAAGATAGGATGACGTGCATGGCGGTCATGACACTTACCGAGGAAGAGGACGGATTGCCACGAGTAACGGAATGGAGACAAGCGTACCAAGAGATATCTACCGTAGAGAGGGACCGACTGAAGGTCCGAGAATGGCAAGGGATGCTGACCAGAGGAGGCCGGGCATACGTACCACCACAATACGTGAAGCGAGTCATACGACATTTCCATGACCGACGGGTCGGGACCCACGCCGGAGTAGTGAGGACATACCGGAGAACCCAAGAACTATTCTGGTGGCCCAGACAGATGGAAGACATACGGCGGTACGTCGGAGCATGCCTAACTTGTCAACGCCGAAGGAATGGGATGGAACGCACGCAGGGACTGAGTAGGGCTTTCCCACTAGGGGAGATCTTCGAGGCGGTACATATCGACTTCTGGCAAACCAGAGGAGAAGGCAGGCCAATAATGACAATGATCGACCGGACGTCACGATGGGTGGAAGCAGCGGTGGTCCCCGA